GGCCCCCGCAGCCTCCCCTGCCCCTCTGCCCTTCCACCAGGCCCTGCTCCCACAGCTGGGCCACCACCCCTCAGCCAGCAGCCTCAGTATTCCCCCAGGGAAGCAGGGCTCTGTGCTGGTGTGACACACAGCCTGTGCTGGTCCCTTCTTCCCGCTGCCTGGAGGACGCAGCTCCTGGAGGCGCAGGGAAGCTGGTCCCACAGCCCCCCGGCCTGGGCACTGCCCTCAGCCCCTCACCCTGCTCCCCTCGTCACCTGTAGGAACACCCAACGGTTCCGGCAGTTGGCAAGTGCTTTGTAACATCCCAAGTCCTGCTCTGACAGCCCCCAGCATCACCCCTGATGACTGCGGGAGCCCTGAGGCAAAGCCCAGCAGCCCCTTGCTGGGCCCTCCCCGGGGCACTGGGGCTGCTGGCACCACAGGAGCTCCTGCCTGCGGAGAAAAAGAGGTTTCCAAACCATTGCCATGGCTCTCAGAAAGGCTTGGTAAAGCTGCTTCGTCTCTCGGTGTGGTTTTGATTTAAAATCCTCAAGAAAATGGGAATGTTTGGCCTGTGTTGACACAGCGATACAAGCAGAAGGGAATTTCTCCAGGCTTGTCACGTGGCTGGTGTGTTGGTGTGTTGTACATGAGTGTGTGTTGATTAAAGTCTGAACACAGGAGTGTCATTCTGGCACCGTGTGCTGAGGTGCTATAGAAAATGTTGAGAGGCACTGTTAGCAACTCAACAGTTTTCTTTATACTTAGAGACAACAGGATTGGTAGGAAACTGAGTTTTCACCTGTTCCTGCCCACAGGAACCAGTAGGAGCTTGGCAAGAGCTGCTGGGTGCCAGGGCCCTGCAGCAACCCCTGGATGAGCCCTGTGCCATGTAGTACCTGTGCAGAACGTGCTTCTGCAAACACACACCCCCTGGCTTTTGGTGATGGAATGATTTCCTTCCGTTTGAACTTAACACTTCCTGCAGACAGTGTTGACTTCTCTGCCATGAATCTCACAGGCCTGTCCCAAAGCAGACGGGGCAGGTTGGCAGGACTGTGTCCAGTTTGAAATCCCCCAGTAGGCTCCTGTCTGGGCTGAACATGCAGCATCTTGACTCTTAACCCCTGCAGGAGATGCAAACAGGAGAGTCTCAACTCAGCAGCTGTGGATGGTTCTTTAAATCCAGCCCTGTTTCAGCTACCAAGGTGCTGCGAACTGCTGTGAGTGTTTAATAGAAAAAAGCCTCTACAAAATGAAAATAGAGAAGAGCAGTTCCAGGTGCTTTGTCCACAGCAGCTGCAGGAACCTGAACAGGCTGCAGAAAGCTGAAGCACTTGGGGCAAATGCTGCTGTCCCAGGACAGCAGAGGTGTGAGTGCATTTAAGGGTGTCTTACAGGATTCTTTAAGTTGAACACTTACTCTGTTAAAAATCAGATGGCCTAATCTTATCAGTTCAGCAAAACAAAGTTCACACAAAGGTTACAGTGAGCTAATATCACTATATTTAAATATTCTGACGACACAGGTTTTTTTCCTTCTCATGATTGAGCCGTTCGTGAAAAGAAGTTGGATCCTGTTCACCCTGTGTCATTGTGCAATGAAGTCATTGTTTGAAAGTGGCATCAAGATTGCTGCTTACGTTGCATAACTGTCCTGTGAAACTTGTTGCTGCAGGATCCCACCGAGGCTACGGACTGAGCTGGAGCCCAAAGCCTGTTGTGAAGTGTTTGTGAACTGTTGAGTCTGAGAGCACCTTGGATTGTCAGCTCTGTGTCTGCTGGAAAACACCAGGGGGAAGTACCAGCAAAGTCCTGAGAATGGGGGTGGGAAGAGAGGGAGGAAAAAGCAGCTTCTGGGGTGGTGGGGGAGCAGTGGGAAGGAGGAGAAGCGACAGCCTGGCTGTGCTGGCAAGGAAGGCAGCACAGGAGGTGGGAAGGGCAGCAGGAGCTGGGGATGGCAGCACTGGGAAAAGGCTGGGAGCCACTGTCCTTATTCATGAAAATTATGGAGAAAGTACTTTCCTATGTCTGGTTCGTATTCCATCTCTCCATGTCTTGATCAGCAGTGTTTGGTGGGGTCACCCTTAGGGTCCCAGCCTGTCAGATGCCTTGATCCAGGAGCAGCAGCTGTTGGGTTCATGGCCAGAGGAGATGCTGGTACTTGTTAGTGCTTCCTGGGGAAAGGAGAAAGGTTTTCAAGTTGGTGGGTGCAGGACATGACCAAGGCTTCAGATATACAGTGTGCTGGGGAAGACACATGGCTACTTCTTGAAGAATGTTATAACTTAACATTTTGCAATGTGTGATTCAAGCAGTACTTCTGATAGATTGTTGTACTTACCCAGCACAGCTTGAAAGAAAATGTAACAGCAGAAATGGGTGGGACAGTAGATAATGACTCCAAAACCCACTGGTTCCTATCTTTTAGGTGTGGTGAATGGAGCTTTCAGCAGAAGCAGG